GAAACAAGCGTGCGTCTGGGGGAAGGACAGCCAGAGGGCTCCTCAGAAGGGAGGACGGAAGTCTCCCGAGCTTTGGCTGTGTTGGCAGAAGAGACCAGTCCCTGGAAAAGGATTCCATGCGCTTGGCAAAGACAAGGGTCAGCAAAGACGAGGGTGACCCCGGGCTGCAACAGTGAGTGGGTGGGCACCCACATAATCCTCAGGCAGGGCCCGGCAGTGAAGCGTCCGCACGATGGCACCTGAGAGCAGCAGAGAACATATCAGTACAATATTACATGTGGACGTGTGCAGGCACACACGCACACTCACCTGCCATCCTGTCAGTTCTGGCGTGGAGCCGCCCCGCAGGGCAAGGAAGCACTGTGCCTGAGTATTTCCAAGACGAACTCTCTATAGGAATAGAAAGCCGCCTCTTCGCCCAAAAAGTGGTTTCCAACTGCTGCCCTTGTGGTTAGCAGTCTAACCTGTAACCACTGTGCGGCAGGGCGCCCAGAGCGCGACATAAACTCTTGACTACAGCATACACAGAGATCAGATCTAATATGGATCAAATCTGTGGGGGAGGAGTGGGAGGGCAAGCGTGCCGGCATTAGCAGCCTTCAGTAGCACTGTGAACAATTGTGAACAATGGTAGAATAATAAGCTCAGAAAATTCCTCCTCTGGCCTGTGAAGCAGTAGCTGCGTCTTCCATTTCCTGCCAGTGGAACAGCTGCTGAGCGCAGTCGAGGGCAGCGTGCTGCCCACGTGCGCGCCCTCTCCTCACCGTGCCCCCACAAAACCTCCAAAAATGTCTGCTGAGAACACTGCCCAGTCTTCTCAGAGCCACCTCAAACCTGTTTTACTGCTGTGTCGCCCTGTAGCTGCATGCAGTATGCTTGTCGTTTGGTAAGCCAATGCCGAAACCCCACACACAAGCCTCCTTTTTTCTCCCTCTGCCAAGTCTGATATCAGGCCCAAATAAGACACCGAGGGAGCTCTGGCAGCCTGCACACCTGAACCGGAAGCCCGACTGCCTGCTGTTTGGGGGGAGGGAGGTGTTTGCTTGAATACAGACTGGCGACACAGAGCGAGGAACAAGGCCTCAAGAAGGCGAGGGTCAGGGTTCAAATCCCGACTCATGGGGACCTTACAAAAGTGGCGGTGCCTCTGAGCTGCAGTGTCTTTACCTGAGAAGAGAGCTGCCTTTGGAAAGCGCATGGTCATCCCTGGCACATAGGGAGAGGGTAGTGAGTGTAGGATGGGTGATGATGGCCTCTGGGTAGTGGCCTGCTTGGGCTAGGGAAGAGAGTTCAGGTGAACTGTAAGTCTGTCCTGGACTAGACGCTGGGCTAGGGACCAAGGGGATAAAGTCATCATCCTTATGCCCTTGGAGAACGTTTGTGCTCCACCCTGTTTCCTAGAGAGGGCACTGACCAATGCAGCCAAGGCCACCCATCTGGCACGTGTCAGAGCTGGGGTTGGCACTCAGGACTGATGAATTTTGAAGCTCATACCATGTTCTAATGCAGTCAAAACCTTTCTCTGTGTCCAGCAGGCCTGGTGCCTTTCCGCACCCCTGGCGCCCTCCTTCCCAGGCTTCAGTGGAGGGTGCTCTCATCACTGCTGCTTCTCCTGGCAGCACATGAGGCGGGGCGGGGGGCGGGCATCCAGCCTCTCTATTCCTGCCCCATGTTCACAATGAAAGGGGGAGAGCGGAGAAGGAAATGAGGATGGATGGATGGATGGATGATGAGGATTGAAGGGGACATCCTAGAGGAATGTAAAAAGAAACAGTAATGTTGTTGAGCCCTGGTAAATAGGAAAGTGTTGAGGTTGGCACTTGGCACCATGGGAGAGGGCAGTGTGGCACCTTTTCTCACAGCTTCACTGCCCAGGTAAGAGCTGTCTAGGTGAGACAGGTGCTGCTACAG